GCTTTCTAGGGTGAAGGTTATTTAGGAGTTTAATATACTTCTTCGTGAGCAAAAAGCCCGCATGAATTAGACACAAAAAGGGACCGCTTTTAATTCTCTTCCTAAGGCCTGGGTGGATATATACTTTATTATGACGAGGCGAATCTTTATTTAAGCTTCGCCGACCAGCAGGGACACCGCAAACAGCTAGCGTCAATTACTGCGGACCCAGTAAACCCACCCATCCCACCCCAGGGGAGGACATCCATCACACAGTAATCTCGTACGTGGGAAATGAACGTCCCCTGCCCCTAACCCTACAGGAGACGGGACCTCCATTTATTCGTCCCTATCCAAGATGACTAAAATATCTAACCATTTCTTGATGCTACAGAAAGGTAGCAAATTCTTCTCAATTATTTTAAGACCCTGAGTGTTGGTCCAGCCGGGGCTTGAACCCTCGACCTCCCGCACAACAGTCCAGCGCTCTATCCATTGAGCTAACCGGGAGGCGGTTGAAAGAGCGCCTGTAAATGTTTGACGGATATAGGTTTGCAAATCGACGGAGAAATAGCCGTGAACATATAAAGCACTAATATTTGGAAATTCAGTTTCACAATGTGCATTACTGATCTAGAAAATATGATTTTGTACCAAAGTTCCTAGCTACAACAATTAAGAAAAATTTTGCGAGACCATATGAATGACATAAACAAATTTCAAGTCGAAAAATGCCGACATCAAAAGGGGAAGAACTCGTGTCTTTTGAAGGAAAATAAATCAAGGATCTCGGAAGTAAGGTAATGATACTAGGGTTCTGCTTTTGTTGAAGTTCAAATCTTGATTTACGTTGTCAGCATTGGAAGACTGCCTTAGTGCTGCACTGAAACTGGCATATCGCCGGTCAAGTCCTGTTTGGTGGATTGATCTTTTTTACGAAGGTCGAAATCTCTTCAGGGGGTAAGTTGTTTCCTTTTCCCTTACCTCAAATCAAATTTTCTGATTTTTCTTAACTCTGTCACTGCACCTAACAAAACTCTACCATCATATTCGAAGCAAAGCTTCGCGTCTCTCGCTGCAGGTACAAAATGTGCACCTGTAAACTTTTACTCACCAGATGAAAGCCCAATGGAGAGAAGTATGACAGCACTTGACCACAGCTTCATTTTACAGAGCTTGAATTTTCCCTGTGAGTTACAAACAGCAAGGTAG